TCCACCCCGTTTCATTCCCTTGCTCCGCGCCGCCCGCCGAGCCTCCCGGGCGGCAGCGCCCTCTGCCGGTCGGTTTTCAAACCTGAGGAACAGGTCCTGCTAGATGCCGCCTCCCTCCAGCAGCGCCAGGTGCAAAGGGGAAAAGAAACATCTTTGTAACCTTAACTGCAACAGAAATGACCAGTCAGCCTGTGAAACTGACCAGGAACGAGGAAATGCACAACAAACCTCGGCGTTTGCTGCTTGGTTGCTTGAAATAAGGAAACGGGAACCTTACAAGCGGGTTAACCCAGCCAGGGCCACGAAACCAGAAGGACACAATGAAACCAATAGCCATGGCAGGGAAGGATGCTATGTTGCAGGGACTTGCTGATACAATGTAGCCACACTGTAATTTTTCATACAATGTAGCCACACTGTAATTTTTCATACAATGTGGCCACACTGTAATTTTTCATACTTGGATACACGTTAATGGTGGAGACATTTCTCTAAGATGACCTCCCATGTAAACTGCGGGCTCTGGCTGATCACGTGCCAGTGTAGTTTCATCAAATGGAACCCCTCAGTCCGGGATGTTGCTAATGGGGAAGGTTATGCATGTGGGGGGCAGGGGGTCAATGGGAAACCTCTGCACCTTTTCCTTAATTCTGCTGTGAACCCCAAACTGCTCTAAGAAAGTCTATTACATCTACAGAGCAGGCTACAAAGCCGTGTGCGACCTGCTCCTGTTGTAGGCTGGGCGAGCTGATGGTGGTTGCTGCGCTGTGGGGCGGAGGGGGGTGGGGCTGCCCTGCCCAGGAAAGGACTTATGGGTGCTCCCTACATCCCCTCCAGATGGAAGCTTCACCAGACCCCGAGGGGGCCTCTGGGGTTGCAGAGAAGGGAGCATGTGAGCCCGGCCATCTTGTCACCAGGAGGAGAGAGACGGCAAAGCCCCGAAAGCAGAAGTGACACAGAGAAAGTGAAAGTGAGGAAGAGGGACTGGGTGACAAGGCTTCAAGCTGGTCTGCTCCCTCCAAGCTGGCGTTCTGTCTCCTGACACTTAAGGGTCTGTGTGCCCTGAACTCAGGCCTGCCCCCCCCCCCCCCCCCCTCCGCCCGGGACCACAAATTTTTGTGCACTGGGCCTCTAGTATAATAATAAAACTCTCTCTCTTGGCCACCTGGAACCTTCCTCTCAGCGGGCTCAGTCAGGGTAGGGGCTGCCTCCTTTCTGGGCCCCGTCCAGGGTCCCCAGGGATGGAAGAGGTTCCTGCCTCAACATTGCCTTTCCGCTTTCCCTCTGCCTACAATTCTCCCCTCCCCAGGCTGCCGTGGCCGCCTCCTTAGCTTCCCAGGTGGCTCCCGTTACACCTCCTCCTCCGAGAAGCCCTCCCTGACCACTTGGCTGAGGCATTATTGTGCCTGCTCCACTGCGGGTCACATCGCTGTGATGTGAACACCCCACTCTGTCCTGGAGCTGCCCTGTCTATGTGACCTTGAGGGAGTCCCCTCTTCAAGCCTCAGTTTCCCCACCTGTAAACAGACACAAGTGAAGAGACCTTAAAGCAGTGGTTCTCAACCTTCTGGCCCTTTAAATACAGTTCCTCATGTTGTGACCCAACCATAAAATTATTTTTGTTACTACTTCCTAACTGTAATGTTGCTACTGTTATGAATCGTCATGTAAATATCTGATATACAGGACGGTCTTAGGCGCCCCCTGTGAAAGGGTCGTTCGACCGCCAAAGGGGTCGCGACCCACAGGTTGAGAACCGCTGCAAAGGGTGCCTCAGGGTGAGAGGGCCAAGGACATCCCAGCCCTCTCCTAGGCTCCCTGACTCTCCTGCTCTGCTCATCGTTGGCTGTGTGACCTCGAGCAAGTCACTTAACCTCCCTGGGTGTCTGTGTCCTGCCTGTTAAATGGGACAAGGACTCCTCCCAGGCAGAGCTGGACGGGCAGTGGCGAGGGGAGCCCTGAGCACCCAGTACAGAGGCTGCCACTGACAGGCGTCCCAGGCACAGGTCTCAGGGCATGTCTAACCCCCCCATCACCACCCCTGGGGGCCACAGGGCAGGAGGGAGAGGCTGCTGGAGCAGGCTGCTGTCTGAAGGAGCCCCCAGCCTCTCGGGAGAGGGCCCAGAGCGGCTGCCAGGTGCCAGTGAGCTGGCCTGGGCTACCAGCTGCAGGTTCCTGGCCCTGGGTTGGGCCAGGTGTGTGGGAGGGGCCTATATGTATGGGAGGGGCTTAGGTGTGTGGGAGGGGCCTAAGCGTGTGGGCGGAGCCTAGGGGGTGTGTGTGTGAGGGGGGGGCGGGCCTCCTGCGTGCACCTGCGCAGACAGGAACCACTTGTGAAGAAGGGAGGGAGCTTGTCACGTGCAGATTCTAACTCAGTGGGTCCGGGTGGGGCCTGACCTTGGGCATTGCTGACCCGCTCCCGGAGTGGCTGATGGTTCTGATCCCCGGCCCGGGGTTGTGGTGGGCCATGCGGCAGGCTCCCTGGAGGAGGAGGCACGAGGAGCGGAAGGACTTGTTCCAGAACCTAAGAAGTGCGTGGGTCCTTGGCTTCTCCAGCAACAGGGAGCCGCCGGGAGGAGACGGCCCTGGTGGGTCCTCCCAGGCCCTCAGACGCCTGTGAGGGAGGAAGACCGTGGCCAGAAGCCCCGGAGACCGACGGGCCACCGCTGCCAAACACCTGGGAGGGCGGCGCCGAGTGCCACCAGGAGAGGAAACCTGGGTGCGTCCATTCCCTGCGCCCCGCCTTAGGGGTCCTGATGGGGAGCTCCCTGACATGCTTTTGTAGGTCCCCTCCACCTGTTATTAGGTTTTTTAAAAACCTCTCTCTACTGCGCGCATGCACCGAATATGTGTGATGTTGAGGCGGACACGCCCCCCGCATCCGGCTTCCCCCCCTCCACTGGCCTGGTCCGAGGCTGACTTCCTTGGGAGAGAGCTGGCTCTCACGGTGCCAGGTGCCTGGCCCCAGCCCCCCGCGCCCCCCTTTGCCAAGGCCTCCTTGTGGAAGAACTTCGGCCACGGGGTGTGTATCCAGACCCCAAACCCGCAGTGCAGATTCTAGAAGATTCCCCACCCCCACCGGTGTCCCATTAGACTCACGTGCCCCTCGTTGTCCCTCTGCACCCAGCGGGCTGATGCCACCTGGACCCTGACATCCCGGGCCAACGCTTAGCTCGCCCAGCTGGCTGCCCGAATCTTCTAACCCCACCCTCTCCCCAACCCCTGTGGGGCTTTCTTTCTTTTTAAAAAATATATTTTTATTGATTACAGAGAGGAAGGGAGAGGGAGAGACAGAAACATCCATGATGAGAGAGAATCATGGGTCGGCTGCCTCCTGCACGCCCCCTCCTGGGGATCGATCGAGCTTGCAACCCGGGCCTGGGCCCTGATTGGGAATCGAACCCTCACCTCCCGGGTTCACAGGTTGATGCTCCATCACTGAGCCACGCCGCCGTCGGGGCTGGGTTTGTGGTTTTGAGATCAAGTGAGCCTGGCATCGAAGGGACACAGGACACAGCACAGGCTCCAAGGAATCCGGAGGGGGGAGGGGGGCTCAGCTGGACACCGCTGGGGAAGTGGAGGACGACAAGTGGCCCCACCTGGCCATTCCATCCAAGAGGCGCCCCCGCAGCCCGCAGAGCCATGGCAGCTCGCGGCTCAGCCCAGATACTCGCGGACCACCAGCTCCTTGAGGGTGAGGCCCCGCGGGCCGGGCCTGCGCTGCTGGCTGG